CGAAGTTGGAGTTTTAAATTGTTTTCTTTGTTAAATTATGTTTGCAATTGCATCTTATTCAAAGTAACTTTTATATGAATTACGCGGGAAAACATTAGTGGCTGTACAAAAGCCAACTCCATACAATTTTAAATATTTTTATAAAAAAGTTGAACAAGAACTTCAAAGACTTTTAAAGTCTTTACTTGTTAACTTAAAGAAATAATATATGACAAAGTTAATTCGTAGAACGCTGTCGATAGCCGAATAACATAAATCGTGCGGCGTAAGCTAGAAGTTTCACCGCTCGCAGCTCGTCCAGGGAAGAAGATTTTACAAAAGCCAAAAAATAACAAAAAGTATTCATCGAATGTTGTGAGATTCATTTAGTAAAGCCATTGTCAGGATAGGGTATGACGTCCATACTCACCAAACAAGATGAATAGAAAGACAGTTCTGACCGCCATCAGTCTGAAACCGTTTTCCGTGAACCTTAAAGGTTCCTCGCCGCTTCGTAATTGAGCAACCCAACGTAAGGTAAGATTTCTGTTTCCACTGCTTTCTTTAAACTCCACCAGAATGTTTCACTCACGTGGCCAGTAGCCATGCAAATTTATTGGAACAAAAGGAAGTGCTCAACTCCTGCAGGATTGGTTTTTGTAAACCAACATGGCCGCCGTTTCATTGTTTTGGAACGCCACTATGGTTGCCGTGACGTCATGAGATGGTGGTTTTTAAAGAGCAGCTTTATAATGATTTTCAATAAACTCAACTCGCATATGACAGATGATTGCCATATCTTTTTTAATCGTGATGACAGTATCTTGTTAGGAGACAGATTCATTTTAATTAGCGTTGATATACGGACTTACTACAGTCGGCGAACCTCCATTAACGGCCACCTCTCTTCGCAGGCCACTTTTTTGGTTCCAGCGGACGTCCCATACGTTCACTCTTATTTCTTACTCTCTGCAGCGGCCACCTCTCCACAACGGCAACGGCCACCAAAGTGTATCCCATCTGCCAAAGAAACCTCTCGAAAATGGCATATTAATCAACGAACGAGGAGCGGTGTGTACAAAACACCATAGTTTTTTTGTAAAACATCGCGAACATGGCTCCGCAGCGCGCGTCGCTTGTCTCTGTTTCTGTGTGGTTTCTGTTTTATTGACATATTTTGATTGTTTTTCGGGAAACTTCTATTCTTTTAAATAGATTTGTTATATAGCTGGCGTTTTTCCCGCTATAGCGCGCCCATTCATTGGCTAGCTCATGGTCACATGACATCTAAAAATGAAACTGCTTTCCGCCAAATGCCATGAGCTGGCAACATTGCGAAAACTATGACGTGAAACGGGAAACAGTTCACTGTTACCCGCCAAATGTTGACTGCTGTTGCACGTCATTTGTCAATAAAGTTATTATTTGTTTTCCTATATAACAAATCCCGTAATGACTGGCACGATTAAATATTTACTGTACCCAGCAGTGAATTTGTTTCCCTCGACTTCGTCTCGGGAAACAAAATTCACTGTTCCCCTCGGGACCAGTCATTAAGTGTTTAATGTTCCACCACTGAAAAAGACAGGTGTCATCATTGTACCCCTACCTTCTTCATAACGGCCACCTCTCTACAGCGGGCACTTTTCTCGCAAATGTGACTGTTTTGGAGAAATTCGACTGTATCTGGAGTTAGGTTATAATCCTCTCTTATCTAATAAAGACGAATGGAATGATTGTTGGAATAATTTATTAAATTCTTAGCAAACTTAGTTTAGGGTTAAATCTACTGGATAATGAAGGTGTTGTAGTTTGAATTAAATGAAGCGATGATATGAAACGGCGGCAAAATTTGCGGCAGGGTGTTCACTATGATTGTGAACTAAAGATTTCTATCGCGTATCTTTTGATGAGGATGTAGCCAAAACTAAGCTGGTGAACTTCACATAACTGAAACCCCTGACAAAGTACCTTAACCAGAAAATTATGTCCGAATTTGGTTACAGTAAATATCTTTTATTGCTACAGTAAATATCTTTTATCGTATCTTTTATTTTTACACTCAGAGCGGCACATCAGGATCATTTGGTCTCGCCATGAGTGTTTTACAGATGATTCGATTCAAACCATGGCTCCACCAAACTCGCCTGATATTCCACCAAAACGGACTAAACATACAACTACTATATAACTACTATATAACTACAAATAGAGATAAAGGCTTCAAAACAACACAAGGAGTGACCAATTTATGATGTCCATTAATGTTGTTAATGTTAAATGTTTATAGTGGTCGATGCGCTTAGTTACAACTAGCTACTAAATATTTCAAATAAACATAATAGGCTTAAAAATCCCAACTGTCGGAAGGCAGACTAGTTGGCTATTTACAAGCATGACTGAGGAGTTTAACTGGTGTCTACCGAGAAACAAATCTAACTTAGTGGTCAGAGCGGGACTTGAACTCGCGACCACCCTAACCACTCGGTCACGCTGCCTCCATTAAACGTTTTAGCCACTTAGAAAGACCTAGTATAGAATCTTAGGTCACTAGATACCCGTTGTAGGTTACTGACAGTCTGGCAAAAACCAACGGAACAGCCACGGATGGCTGTTCTGTCGATTGTGGGTTTGACAATGTACCCACCAACTGAGCCTGAGTTGCATGCCTACGTAAATATTGAAAGAAGCTAAGCGTAGTAATCGTCAGCCGTAAAATTAAATACTTTTTGGCCCTAAATTACTGTTAACTGCATGTTAAAGCGGCTATGCACTAAAATAGGGAACACTTTTCGCTACAAACTTAATCTTTTTTTTAAGCTACTAGAAACCAGTGGCACTTTAATTGGGTCAATCGCTACTCCAGTTCAAATACGCCATTACTGCATGAGTGGAGCTCCATTGCCTTCGATATGCCGACATCACTTTGATTAAACTGAGAAGTTTTCTTGGTTGAGTTTACATCGTTTGCACTTGAAACTGGAAAAACCGCGTTCATCCTTCTTCTGAACCGTTCTTTAATCTGAGGATCAAACAAAACCTAAAGTCACGCAAAAGTAATAAGTCTCTTGTTGAAGTTTTGTTCTAAATGTGGTCTCAAATTTACATGAGAAAGGACCTGCAACTAGACTTTTAACGTCCGGTTCCGTATTTACTCCTTGAAGAGTCATTATATCAAGTAAAACTATGGCGCTTGAGCACATTCACGCATCTGTCCCTAAATTTGCTTTCCCACATCATTCGGCATCTAGAGTAGAATTATTCCCAACATTTGAGTAGCCGGCTGTGTAGCAATGCGATGCATGATGTTCCGAGAGAGTTCATGGATATATCGTTGATTGATTTTCACTGAAGTCAATGCTCTTACCTGACTGTTTCTCAAACAATGCAAGACAAAAATCAGGAATCCCTGTTGAAGAAAGTAAATAAATTAATAAATTGATAAAAGTCTTACTGAACAGTGAAATAATTGCGTCTTTCGGAATAATTGCAAATTTTTCTTTCCCTACTTGAAAGTTTTGGGATCAGGTCTACCTTTAGCTTCTTGTCCTGCCTTCAGGAAAAACGTTAATGATAATTGAGTAATTAAGAGTAACTAAAAAAAAAGCGCGGTTAAGGTTTGTCCAATTATTATCATTATTTAGTTTCTGTGATGAAATGTAAATGTAGCATACCAAGAAACACGGGGCTCCAAAAGTGAGAAATTTACACCATCGAAAATGATATCTTCTAACAATACAATTTTCTAATTCTTTGCATGAAAAAGTTGCAAGCAGTTGTAAAAATTGTTGAATCCAGGACTCAAAAACTAACCTGGGCAGAGTTAAGTATCGTGAAAATGTAAACAAATGCCTTGTGTAAAGGTGACAGAAGACCAAACAACCACGTGACTCCTAGAAGAGGTATCAACACTGTGCATGCCTTGATGCCAAGTCTGAAATAACAAAGCACAAGATAAATTTCTGGTCACATGGTAGAGATTTAATGAAGATGGGCCGCAAGGTAAGTGGGGCCAAGGTTCTTTACAATTGGCCAAACGATAAAAAATAGATTAGATAAAAAACGACGCCCCTAAGGTGCAGATTAACAAGAGCGAATCCAAATAAAGGTTTAAAGTTGCGTAAATCAACCGTGTAACGTAATGGGACATCCGAAACAAAGGCAAGTCAAGCCTTACTGCTGGTGCGAGCTGTTTTGTTCTTGATGTGCCACTGCGTACACGAAGCTTACTGTTCAGCATGGTAAATTTTGTACCATCTGACCGAGTCGTGCAAATTAAAGTTTGTAACAGAAAAAGACGCAGAAGCAAGATATGGGCATGGTGATTTGTTGGCTCGACGAGAGACTGATAGAGTAGCGATGGAGAAACTGTTGTTATTCGCAAGTCTTAATTCTTACCGTATCTGCTGAATGTGGTTTTCTCCTGTTGATTGCATTGTGGTCATTTCTTTGATCACTCGCACGAGTATCAAGATGTTAACCTTGACCATAAGATTAAAATAATCAAATATATCAGTGGCTTTTAGTTCTAACAGAAGAAAAAGTAAAAAGTAACTTCATGCATAGTTTAAAGCTAGATACTTGTGGGGTCTTATATGAAAGAAATAACACAAAAAATAGTACATCGTAGTAAAGAAAAAGAAAACAATTCTTGATTTATTCTCATCCTTCCCTGAGTATTGTCCATATTTTAAAA